AGGAGATGTTTTCCCTTTACTCTGCAACTTATCTTCAAATTACTTCCAAAATTCTATACATTCTACAGTAATAAAAGCAAAGCCAAGAAAAATACTTAAAGAATGTCCATGGCTTGTTCCCTGCATAGCTACAGGTACAGCTCCCAAAGTGTTCCAAATAATTTACATTCCCTTATACCATGATGCATTGAAGTCATTCACAGTTGTGCCTTGTGCCCTTGTTTATGTACCTGCTTCATGTTTCTAACTAGCAGTTGGCAACCCTTTCACTGCACATAAACAGAAGATAAACTCTTCTAAAATAGACAGAACCACCACTGGCATTCTTTGGAGGTTAAAAAAGTTTAATTTCCTTCAGGTCATAAGATGTATAAACATCCTTCAGAATAGTTTTAGCACAGTGGCAAAGGTTTTTAAAATAATTACTGTTCTGCTTAGTATACTGATGACTGCAAAAAAATATAACTTCATATTAATTTAAATTGCACTAAATTGATCATAACAGGGATTAACTTCAAATGATAAATTTCTCATTTTAATACATGATGATTAGGAAAGTAACTGCTGTTACAAACACAAAGTAAACAGCAAGTGAGATACAAATGAAATATCCAGTCTGTGTCAAAGTGAGTATAACTGAGATGAATTATTCAATGAACTAAAAGATGGTCCATTATTTTTTTACCGATGCAGTTTACAGATGCATTAAAGAAAAAAGTACCTAAAATGTTAATTCCTACAGTTGATTGCTTTAGTTCTTCAGGTTTCCAATAATTAAAAAAGATAATAACAATTATGCTCTTGTGCTGTGGCACTGTACCAAAAAGAACAGTTTTTACAACTTATCTGCAAATTCACTTTCCTAGTTCAAACTATTTAAATATATCTTTAAAAAATTGTAGAGAATTTTCTGGAGAAAAAGAAAAAGATGCTCCCATTTTTCCTACTTCATTCTAAAATGCAAAGCAGATTGTTGGTACATAATACAGCTCTAGGGCTATTTCTGTTTTCATATTTCCTCGAAAAACACGTACTGAAAAAAAGATACAATATCTACAACAGAAATACGTTAGGAAAAATATTCCTTTACATTCTCTACGTAGCAAGTTAGAACTGTAGGCAAAGTTCTAAGTCATGACAATGAAATTTCCTTGATATTTAAAATGAAGAACTTACACTGAGAAATGGAATCTGAAGAATTTTGATCAGTTGAGGTTTCCCAAACATACAGTTGAATATAACTTAGTGGAGCATTTCTCAACAGCACATCAATACTCAACACACACCCCTTAACTGGAGTCCAGAATATGCACTCACATGACACAGAAAACATTCACTTTCTAAATTCACCTTTGGCTAAAAAGTATAGGGGATCAAAGTCCTACCATTAATTCTCAAAAATATTTTAATTTTACTGTTAATTCAATCCCCTCTCCCACCCTGCTCCCAAACGAGAACTCTTCAACACTAGCAGTACTTCAATGTAATGTCCTGTCCATCAGTAAAACTGAAATGTAAAACACAAATCCTGAACACACAAACAATCTCTTAAATGTTTCCTTCATAAAATAACTAAGGTAAGCTTGAAGGGGAGTGAAAAATAATCTAATTCATGGTTACACCTCAGAAACTATGAAAGTCTTAAAAAGTCATTCCAGGAACTGAGAAGAAAGCCAGAGGCAGGTTGCAGAATCCAGCTTCCAGCCAGACCAGGAATTATCACCTTTAAATGCAGCACATTACCCTAACTTGTACAGAATCAAACCCTACACACAGCAACACAGTCCTTCATTGCCCCCCGCTCAGTGCTTACAATGAAAATAGAGGGTTGCTGCTTTCTGTAATATCACACGGGTTACCTAACGTGCAGTGAATGTAAGCATCAGCTCCTGTGTCAAATAAATATAAATAAATATAAATTAAAAGAAGCCATAACACAGTCAGATTAAGGGCCAGAACTGTCTGTCAGCAAATTGACTTGGCCTACAGTTAACTTGCCACTCTTACCTTTGAGCTACTTACTTTATTGCAACTGAATAAAAACACACAACTAAAATGCCAGTAATCCCCACATACCACACTGCCATAGGAAACACAGAAATATAAGTTTCAATACAACTAGCTCTACTTATTTGCCACCACTCAAGCTTCCACAAGTGAAATTCTTAAGCTGCTTTTCAACAAACAACTGGGAAGAGCTTTTATACCTGCATACATACACACCAGAAGTGTAAACATTTATCAGCATCATGCAAAACTGATTTGATTACATATTTGGGGTTATGACACAAATCATCTGAATTAAGTGCTTTGCTGCACTTAGGTTTTCTGAAAGTGAGATGATTATACATTCCGGTGAGTTAAGTTCTGGATTGCTTAAAAATGAAATACTGCATTCAATTTGATTCAGGCTGTAAGATAAAGGAACACTGAACTTCTTGTTGATAGCTATATGTCAATGTGTAGCACACACATAAACAAACCCACCTGATTTCTTCTCACCCAACAAAACCTTCTAACAAATTCCAGGACATTTTGGAAATCTCAGGTCTGATAAATGTAATTTTTCTTGCTTAGAGTATATCACTATGGATTGAAATCATTAAACAATAAAAACATCATGCACACAATCAAAGCTGTATGTATGTATTGGATGGAAATGCTCAGAAATGTATTTAACAAAATATTGTAACACAAATGAGAAGATATAAATATTCATGTAATCATACAGTTGCTGTAAAGACTTTACACAACCAAACCTCTGCAAGCAGTGCTGTAGTGCAGAAATTTATCCTAGCCATCTATCATGGTGCCATGAATGTGCTACAGAAGAGCTGGAGGCAGTGGAAGCTCTCCTGCTGGCTCTAGATAACACTGTGGTTATAAGCCAGGTCAGGAGAGGAAAGTTTCCCCTGCAGAGTAAAACACAGATGGCTTAAATCAATCCCAAATTAAGCCATATACAAATTTTCAGATAAAGTCTATATAGCATCATTGGAAAACATGCATCAGTTATCCCAAGTAATTTCAGATGCGTGGAAAAGTTTTGTTCTGGACATCATTTTGTTCTAGGAATATAGAAGGGAAATAAATCTTCTCTAAGCATCAGCCTATCAGTGAAGGGTGAGAAAATCTTCAGCAAGGTACTACATTAGCTCTGATTCAAGTGAACAGACTAAGAGCATTTCAGAAGAATAATTAGAAAACTGAGTCCCAACTCCTTCATTCTTTTCCCCTTCTGTCTAAGAGAAAGGAGGAGAAAGCATCTAAATGGCCTGTGAAATGCATGCAGCACCCTTGCCTTGTCTCCTTGATGGAGACAGCTGTGACATTTACCATCTCTTCCAGTCATGTCTGACAGGACGTGGTGGGTAGAGAAGACAATCTCTAGAAAATAGGTATACTGACAGTTTTTCCTGCTAGCACACACAAGCTATGCAGGGCAGAGAAAGCTGCCCCTTGCTCTGGATGAGCTCGTGTGACTATGCAAAGGTCTTGGGACCCTACAGCCACCAGTTCCTCTTCCTACAGCAAAGGAAGGTATCTGCTAAATTACTGCATATCTTCAAGCTTGTTAAGACCCTACTGAGGGTACAGCAACTCTTTTCCTAAAATCCTGCTAAGATGAGAATCTAACAGCTTAAATGTAACAGTGGGAGTGAGAGAAACATAGATGGACAGCAAGACACTGAGTGAAGGAGAGAAAGCATGAAGGAGCAAGAGGGGAAGACAGCTAGGGGAGGGGAAGGAGGCTGAAAGAGAGAGAAAGAGGGAGAAATGCAGTAGTGGTAAACCAGATGTCTTCGGATTCAATCCTCTAAAGCTTTGGAAGCATGGCTTGCATGGGCCATCACTAAAAACATATCCACAGTGACATTGAGGATCTCTGCAATTTGATGCATCAATTTTTTCTATTGTAATAAGCTACTGCCATTACTCAATCCTTCAGAGATAAAACAGCTGGTCACTTTCTAAACTACAGAACAACCAACTGTGCAAAAATCTTTAAAAAGGAGGCAAAAATGATATTCACTTTAAAGTGTTACAGCACTTTAAATTTATCATGGTATGTCAGTTTTTTACATCAGTATTTTATAGGGAATATACAGAAGAAACTGTCTCACAGAGTATTCCTTACCACACCACAGTTTTTCCTCTAAACTTATCAACTGCTGCATTTAATTAGCAATGCAAAATGCACCTAGAGCACTAAGTCACTTGTTATTCTTTCTTTGTTCTTCAGAGTGGAAAAATAGTGTGCATTAACAACAGTACACAAGAGGTTCTGACTGGATATAAGGAAACAATTCTTACTATGAAGATAATTAGGAACTGGAATGGGCTGCACGGAGATGTTGTGGAATGTTTGTTCCCAGGCATTTCCAAGATCTGGTTGGGACAGAGCCCAGAGCAACCTGCTCTGAGCTCAGTGTTGAACCTGCTTTGAGCAGAATGATGGACTATGGACAAGACAACCTTCCCAGATCCCTTTCAACCTGAGTGACTCTCTATAGCTCTGAGGCTGCTGACAGATGCACTTGGTGAACCCCAAAAACTTGGCAGGAAGTTTTCAAAATTAGAATTTTTTGAAAATATCCATCAGGAGTCTTTTTCTAAATATCAGGTCATACCATTTATGCACAGTGCAATTAAACCAAAAGCGTGACTGATGATCTTTCAGTAAATGCACTTTTAAAATAAATTTATGAAAACTATACAATAAAAATAATCTACAGAAAAAAAAGTAAGCATCTACTTTTTGCCATATGTGTTGTAAATAAACAATGGTCTTCCACTGATTTCCTTTTATAAATATTGGTAACAGCATAATTTATTGGCCATGTTAAATGTGTTTGTTCATAAATAGTATTTCCTATTAACGTCGTGTCCCTTTCTTGGAAATGCATGTAGTTGTTAAGGCAGACTAAATCCATGCTGCCTGAGAAAGCAGCTGCACACACCCATGCAGTCAGTGCTCTGCAGGTGCAACACATCCTCACCTTGAGATTGGGTTTGGACAGCAGTTTCAGCAGTTCTCTGATCTCGCTGTTCAGTGGCTTGCTCTGCAGCTCCTCAGCCAGCTGTGGGGGAGATTGAATTGACGCAGAGACCATTAGAAAGGCATTGTTTTACCCAGTGCATCAGTGACAACCAAGAATCTATCTTGTTCAAGGTTATTACTTTCCAGTGTGTTCAAACAGAAGCCAGCATGAAGAAAAACACCATCAATCACCATGCTACTCTTTCTGGCCCTCAGCGGACTAGATTTAAGCCAGGCCTTTCGGCTCAGTTTAACACAAGTAATCATTTCTGGCAACAGTGCAGCCAGATCACATTCTGATTTATAGCAATGAGGGCAAATCCCAGCACTTCATTTAAGTGAATGGTCCTTCGCGTGCAGACAAAGGACTGCTTGTAAAAATGACTGGATCAAACTTTGACACTGTCTATAAAAAACAGTTTTGAATGAGGTGGTGAAATCCACACTGCTTCCAAAAACCCACAGTAGCTGTGCTGTTTAGGAGTGGGATAAGAAAGCAAAGTGCCCCTACAGTGCAAGCAATCTGAACCTTTTATTATGTTTACACATACACTGGAAGCAGCTTGTTAAATGTGAAGCAGGTTAAACATAATATACTTTATAACAGGTCATCAGCAATTCAAGGCCCTGAAATGCACAGACTATGTCCTAACAACAAGGTCAGTAATTTATGTTTGGTTATATTACAAAATTGTGGTTCGGCGAACAATAGAGCAGCAGTCTAGCTTTTAATCCCATGGCTATTTGGCTCATGTTTTTAGTTTTTCTTATCACGACATTCTCAGCTAATTTGGACTCAAGAGGCATATTTTACTACAGGATTTCAGACTTCGACTGTTTTTCCAGAAGTAGGAAAAACTAAAACATATTTCAGAGCACTGAACTTTAGTTTAAGATTCTGAAGCTACATGGCTCATAATCCAAAATGTTTTCAGATAATCACTCGTTTTCTTTGCACTAAATCAGTATCTTAAAAACACTTCTAAGAAAAATTGGTTATTTGGAGCCAGTAATTTTATTCATCTAGCTTAATTTTCAAGTCTTACTTGCAATTTATATAAGTTTTCAATATAAGCCTGTATTGAAATACATTTTGCATAATAATATATAATAGACAAATCTAGAAAAGCAGTTATAGACAACATCGAACTTGGTTGAATACTTTTTTTAAGCTTCAACAGAAAGCTAAAAGAACTGACTGACAGAAAAATTCCACATGTACACTCCCTAAGCCTTACACCTAAAATTCATAGACAAAAATGTTCAGATATAATTAATGTTAATCTTAACATCATTCAAGTAACCTTACAGAAAGATTAGAAAACAACTGCTGTACAGAAGGGCAGAATGAAATACATTCATGCTCATAAAGCCAAATACTGAAGTAACCAGACTGCAATTTAGTCTGCATGTTCTATGGACAAGCTCTGCAAAACCGACAATAATCTGCGATAGGAATGACAGCAGTTCAATGACAGAGGTTTCCCTTTGCTCTTTTTTCATTCTTCACCTTCTCATCACAGAATAAAATCTATTAATTAGTGTATTATTGAACAGGACTACGCATCAGTCAGCAAGAACGACCGCTCAGTATTCCTCTCTCAGATGATGTGTACGAGCAGTTCAAACTTCTGAGCTCTTTGCTCTGAGGGTGCAAATGTAAATGTGGGTACATAACAGCAAGAGCGTTATTGCTTTAACAGATGTTCGAATCTCATCGTAATTTAGAAAATACTTTTCAGAAATGAAAAAATTAAAACCTTGTTTTCACTCACATCATTTATAAGAGTTTTCCAAATACTCCCATAAGAGTCCTAAATGCACATGTAACGCCTCGTGATATCCAGAGAAGCAGGAAGGCAGAACTATGTTACCACATCTGCAAACACCTATCACCAGAGCTGCTTGCTTGCGTCTAGCACTTCTGGACTGGATTTTTATTGTTTTATTTTTACTGTTGCTAGCAGCAGTACAATGAATATGGAATATTTTGGATCACCTCACATGCCAAAGACTGCAGGAAGAGCTGATAGAGAACTCTTCTAAGATTCTCTGTTGAAGGACATTTTACCAAGTCCTTCATGAAAACTTTGGAGAAAGAAATATGAAATAGAGGAGGGATACAGATTTGGAGTGAGAGTGGAGAGATGAACACTGTGGGGTTGGAGAGTTTGAAGTTTCTTGAGGAAGCTCTGAAACCTCTTTTGTCAGTTCTGCATTTCTAGCAGCCTAGAAGCATTATGTGAAGAATACATTTATAGTTTCAACAACATTTATATTATTTGCTTGAAATCAAGAAAACTGCAAACGCTGCTGCTCCAAAATAAGAGGCAAACAGAATCTGTGATGGAAAATTCATTGTAACAGTCACCAACAGTGAGGTGTGAGAAGGAATGGCAGCAAGGAACATGAAAACCTTCAGAAAATAAGCCCAGTCACAATCGCTACCTCTAAAATTGATTCAAAAATTAATACCAAACACAAGAATAAAAATGCAGTCCTTAAACAGTTTCTAGTTACACTAGCAGCATCCCAAATTCATGTTTTAAATAGGAAATATGTACTTGATAGTAAGAGTGTTTCCTTCTTTGTATAACTACAGAACTAGGGGGGAAAATGGTAATTTAAAGCCTACTGAAATAAGCTGTTCCATCACCAACGTGCACTTCAGTCCCTGAAGCTGACACTTACATGAATGGGCCAAAAACTGAGTAATGCTTCAATCGTAAACTCCATGCATTTGGGGAGTACAAAAATCACTGTATGTAAATCCACTTCTCAAAGCTTGTTGACAGCTACTAAAATGCACAAAGTCCTGCAAAATGCAGGCCTGACCTCAGCTGCCAAAGGACATCCCAGTTCCATAGGACAGTGCCCATAAAACCAGCTGTTCAACCACACATAAGCGACAACAAAGTGCCTGCAATAGGATCACTAAAAAAAAAGCTATGCTAGGAGACAGCAGATGTCTAGAGATATTCATGTTCCAACATATGCATATTTATACATGGCAGTATTTTTAAAATGTTCATAATAATACATCCATGGAGTAAGGAAAGGAAAAACTGACCTCTCAAACTGAAGAGTGAGAGACTACTTCAACTTGGGGATATCCAACACTATATATTTTAAATGGAGCTGAACAGAGAATGAGGTTGCTCAGCATTTCTGAAAATATCAAGAATTATGTTTTGCATCCAAAAATAAGAAATGATTCTTATTAAGAATTTTAGCCTGGAGATCCATAAAACAAATGTTAACAAGGATTATTAATATGTCATCAGGAACTTAATGAAGAGAATTTCAACTGGGTTTCTAATTTTCAAAATTACTATCAACATTATTCAAAACTACTTGAAGGTTAAAAAAATATCATTAATTTATGCCTGATGTCAAAACTGATGCATTATTATATTTGGTATGTTATAGGATATAGCTCTCCTCCTACTGAAGTATGATTAAATTACATTATATCCCTTTTTCAAGAGCCTTCAAATGTTTACTTTAGTTTTTTCTTTAAAATGTTATCATTCTACATTTACAACATTAACAATTTGTATAATTTGAAAAGCTATGAATTATATTAAAAATGGTTATGATTTTAAAACATCTATAAAATATGTGACGTTTCAAACATGCTGTATTTGAAAAAGATCCTAATACCTATGCCCTTTTCCAAGAAAACAACCAGAGATCATCAGGTGCAACAAAGATTTCTGGATTTCACCTAAACCACAGTTTATTAAACATTTCTCTGTCCTGGCCTACCTCAGGTTCAGTCATAGTTTATACAGGTGTGTGCACAATTCATCTGAATCCTAGAATTAACCAAACAGAAAGAAATGGCAGGTTGGATTTTTTTCTTTAAAATAAAAATTATAGTAACAGGAAATTAACTACTCCATCAATGGTGACCACTTCTACCATTTATTTTTTGGTTATGAAGGTAATTTAGAAAGCTCCAATATCCATAAATCACTACTGTGCTTTCTCTTAAATAACTTTTTTTTTTTTTTTTTTTTTTTTTAACAAGCCCTCTTCCTAAGCATTTCATATGCTTCATTTCTGTAGTATTATCTATCATTTTTCATGCTCTGTCAACAGGACTGCTATCTCATTTGTCTTTGTTTTTCCAAAGCATTCCTCTTGTCTGTGACTTTCTCAAAACACTAATAGTTGACAGCTTTTTCCCTCCCGGTAGAATTCCAACCTGTAATTTCTATTACGTAGTTACTACAGCAGAACAAGAGGCTATCTAACATGCAGTGTTTTTATAACAGGCAAGTGAATAAAAATCAAAGCAATATCAGCAACAAGCCCAGTGATGACAGCACCTTTGGAAACATTTGCAGCTTCTTATGATTTCAGCTCAGAGGATTACATTCATATGTTTGCACTACGAGGAGCTTTGCTTGCAGACAGTTTTTTGGGAGACTTGGTACCAGTGATCTCAGTAGGGGACACTTACATCATCTGCCAAGGCTGCTGCACTGTGGAGTATGGGCACAGGGTTCTGTTTTTCGTAATAATGCAGTTTTTCATGAATCTAGAAGACAATAGTGCAAAATGATCAGTTTATTTAGTAGCACAAGAAACATTACAAAACATCCCTGTTGAGCTACTGATCCGCTGAGTGCCTGTAACTAGAGAAACATCCTTACAGTAACCTACAGGCAGCAATCATGTACATGTAATTCATCATCATCCTCTGTTGAAGTGCTAAGAATATGAAATCAGACGGAAAAAATGCTCAGTATGTAGACCAACCCACAGAAAAACTAAACATTTGTGATTTTTCTCTCCCTGTTTTCTATGTCCATATTTCTAACATATTGCTTTAAGTATCAATTACATTTTATATTGCTGCTGAAAACACAAAGCATAAAGTGTTTATCCCCAAGATGGATATAAAAAGCCCTGTAAATTATGATTTATGAAGTGAAATAATAGCCTGCCACCCACATCTTGACAGACAGGTTGGTGGAGCCGCTGCCGTCATTAGAATAATTCAGAAACAAGGGTAAAGTAGTGCTAATATGAACTCTAACACATCTGAAAGAAAAAGGCAATCCTTCAGCAAGTTAAAGTCAGTTAGGAGCATGTAAAGTTTTTAATGAGGAGTCATGCAGCATGCTTTGCTTCTCTCCAAAGAGGAAAGGATATACCATCACTTAAATATACAACTTCTTCCCTCCTCCACAAGTCATTCATTTCAAAATTTAGATTTTTTCCAGTGCGAAAGCTTTAACAAGCCAAAATACTTTAAAGCTACTAACAAGTTTCTTAAAAGTTATTTCAGAACGACACAGAGTGATATATTAAGCCTCCAATTTCATTTACATGATTTTCCTCAAGGTACACAGATGTACTAATCCGAATTTAGACGAAAGAAACAGAAGACAATGGTAGTATGGACTGATGCGAATCCATCTCACCTGAAATTACTACTTCAGTCCCACTGCTTTGAAGAAAGCATGGCCTCCAGATGCTTGGAGGAGTTGCAGAAGCAGCAGTGTTTGTGCTCGGCAAGGGAATATGAGGTCTGGCAAGGAACACTGGACTAAGAACTCTGCTGAGGAGCCCCTTGTATCCATGGGGTATGGAACCCCCAGTGATGCCTGGCAGTTCTCCCCAGCCCCTTCTCTGGGATTCCATCTGAGCTCCTAACAACTACACCCACAGCAAGGTCATACCATGCAAATGATGTCCGTTGTTTATATTGTTTTCTGATGGCCTTTATAACACTTACTAAGCCTATGCTTGTTTTCATTCATTTAGCCTACAGGACTAAAGGTCACCCTGAAGTACAGACCACTTGTTGATGCAATGTGGCATAACAAGCTCCAAGCCGTAGCTGATTCCCTCATTGTTTCCATAACCAGGGTAAGATGATTTCTCTAAGTGGTTTGCTAAAGGACTGAAGTTCTGAAATGCCAAGATGAAGCATGAAGCAAAAATATTCTAAAATGTAAAATGATCTCTTCTGAACAGTTAGTAGAAACTAAATGCAAGGCAGCATTTTCTCTAGAACATGAGTGAATTGTACACAGCTTATGTAGACATTGTTTACTCTGACAAGTAAAAGCGATCCATATTGGACAAAGTATAAGTACTGGAAAGCTTCATATTTCTAGTATACAGAGCACACAAACTAAACAAAGCAAGGAGCAGCAGCTCCCTGAGTTTAGCAGAAATTTGATTTTCTTAGACTGTGAACTTAAGCGACTAGAAGGCATAATAAATCAAACTCGAATCCATCATTTTCTTGATTGCTTCGATCAACATCTTGATTTTTTCCAGGTTGAGCTTCCATCAACTTCAAGGTTAGAAGCTGTCTCCTCTGCTATCTTCCTGCTCAAACAAAACAAAGAAGCCACTTCCAATTTTACACTGGACAACCTGAAAGCATCTTTATCAGTGAAATTTTAAAAGATGCCAGGACATTCCCGTAAAACATGTTATAAAATCGTAAATTTATGCAACAAAGACTAGGTTTACAAGAGAAGGTACAACCTAACTTCAATAAATTAACAGCTCACTCCATTGCCAGCAAAGGCTAAAACGAAATTCTTATTTTCCCAACAGTGGATATCAGAGTTCAGCTAAGCATTTAAGAAAATCATTAAGGTTTTAATTGATTATGGAGGAGTTACAGATTGTAACTGCCCAACCAAGTCTGCTGCAAACAACCAGAGCTAATCAAGGAAGTGGGAAAATGTACCTATAATAACAGAACAGTCCTGGATATGGAGTTTTGCTACATTGCAGTAGAAGTTTTACTCATTTGCTGGAATGGCACTATGACTGATTCCACTGAGAAACCTTCCACGTTCTCGGGAAAAAGACAATGCACGCTCAGCACACTTCCATTCAAGTTGCAACACAGGTGATTTTTTCTAAAAACTTCTGATGTGATTTAATGGGCACTATTTTGCCTTGTTTGTTCAGTGAATCACAGGATGTGTTTTAATCAGATCTGTATGCGGCAATATCTTCCACTTCTTTGTAATACGAAGGAGTTGCATAAGCAAATCTTAAAAGAACACTTCTATGCACAAAGCTGCAATCAGTGCACAATGCAGGGATTACATTTCAGATGAGTATGAAATAAACATTATATCATAAAAACTTCCTAGTGCTCTCCCACAGATGCCGCCTACCTCTAACTTCTGGATAACCAATGCACTCATAATTTATGCAGTGCTTACATATAATTGCTTCCTGAATGCACTAGCACAGGAACCCTGGTGCAGTTCAATAGGCAAAGCAAAAGTTTCAGTGAGGCAAAAATATCCTTTCAGGTAGCTCCTTCTCTCCAGGTGTCCAGAAATGCATTCCAATATGACCTGCTCCATAATTTCCCCACAGATCAGAGCTGACTCATTTTGTCATGTTTTGAAGATGGGTGCAGCACGTGCCTTTCCTCTGTTATTTTTCAAGGATAACAGAGCAAACTTGTACACTTACCTGTAGCCTTTGAATCTCCCAGACTTCAGGGTGATGGATAACTGCATTTAATTACTATCACCTTCAAAAACCTGCCATTCGCACTACCAAACTTTCTGGAAACTTCTCCACAAGCTATCTTTCAGCTAATTATTTCTCCACGTTTGAGATTTGTAAATTGTGCTCATATATCCACAATTAATACTGTATTTCCAAAATTCAATACCTACATAACTAGAATTTAAATTTTTAATATGTAGATTTAGTGGCAGTATTGCTGAGAATGAAGATGGTTCAAGCCCTGCAAACTGAGTTGAAAAGCAAAACAGAAGTGGTGCAAGCACTGTGTCCCTCTGCCAATGTCACTGAACAAAATGCAGCTGTAGTACAGATTACAACTATCCTGGAACACTTTTGACAGCAGTATGTGAGCTGATTCAATATGGAAGAAGAGAATGCATTTATTATGTAGAATAAAGTATTTCATATTTGCAACCATCTATTTGAGCTTCATTCAAAAGTATTCTATTTAATAGGAAAGCCAAAGTTATCCTGTATTTTGCTCTGGATGTCCAGTAACTTTAATGCTGTTGCCATCTCTCTAGTGGAAACCTACAGAACCAGGGGAGGGCCTGAGTAATGCTTTAAAAAGAAGAGAACATAATACATATGTTTCAAGTTCTTCTGACATTTAGATGTACTGCTGGAACCCTGAAAATCTCTTCACAGATGAGTTTGTTAAAGCAACAGTTATGTATTGTAAATAAAACATGTAAAGCTGTTCTACCGAACAGATGGCTAAGTTGCTGAAGTTTTGGGTTTTTTTAAATTATTTTTTGTTAAGATTACCTATCCCTTTCACTGTAGGGGTCTTTGGGTACATGTAGGAGGCTCTGCAAACACTGACAATCTACTCACTCCAGAGAAAAATTCCAAAAGGGAGGAACAATCATTTGCAAATTTACACAACTTTGGCACATTTGTAGGCAAGGGAAATTGTACTTGCATAAAACAGATTGAATTAAGATTTCTATAACAAAGTAAAGTGGAAATAAGTTTTCTGCAGTGCCCCCATTTCAAAATCCACAGAAAATATTCCAAGTCAGAAAAAACAAGCACCTTGAGCAAAGAATCCTACCACACAAGTTTAGTTTCTTCTTCAGATTTCCTACATTCTGTGTCCAGTTCTGGGCTCCCCAGTACAAAAAAGACAGGGATCTCTTGGAAGGAGTCCAGCAGAGGGCCACAAAGATGGTGAAGGCCTGGAGCATCTCTCCTATGAGGAAAGGCTGAGTGAACTGGGTCTGTTCAGTCTTGAGAAAAGAAGACTGAGAGGGGACCTGATCCAGGTCTATAAATATCTAAGGTGTGGGGGGCAGAATGGCGAGGCCAGACTGTTTTCAGTGGTGAGTGGAGACAGGACAAGGGGAAACGGCTGGAAACTGCAGCATAGGAAGTTCTGCACAAATGTGCACAAGAACTTCTTTACAGTGAGGTGACGGAGCACTGGAACAGGCTGCCCAGGGAGGTGGTGGAGTCTCCTTCTCTGGAGATGTTCAAGACCTGCCTGGATGCCTACCTGTGCGACCTACTGTAGGGAACCTGCTTTGGCAGGGGGGTTGGACACGATGATCTCTGGAGGTCCCTTCCAACCCCTACGATTCTGTGATTCTGTGATACATTCCAGGTACCTAGCATTTGCCTGACAAAACATAGAGAAGAGCCCAGCTCCTACAGGGATGAAATCCCCTTAGTACAAGAATAATTCTACTAATATTCAGCAAGGTCTGATATAATTGTGTAAGCAGGACTTTTCTGAAAGGCTTTACACAGGACAAAATAGTGATTTCATACCAGAATGGGTAGCCTTTAGCTGTCCTACCAGCTAAGATTTATCAGAAGTCCAACAGAACGCTTTCACTTACTAAGTTTCTGGCAAACTTTAGTTGGAGCACCAACTTAAATGGACCATTTCTCCATAGGATGTCTCCCACATAAAAAAGACAACATGAGGCATGTCACCTCCTTTATCTGAACCTGAAAAAAATATATTCTTTAACTGTTTGTTGAACTTACTGCTTCATGCATAAGAACAGAACA